AGAAATTGTTAAACCGACCAGAGGCAGTTGAATAACTATATTTTAATTAATGGGAAATTAAATTAACAATTATTATTAAATCGTGAGAAGAGAATTATTAGATTTTGAGTGGAATGAAAATTTACTGGGGAATCGGCCAAGATACAGATTCTATTTATGGTTGTGAAGAGTCAAAATTTGGGGAGATATGTAAGTTCTCCAATTTTTCGCAGTTTAGCACATATGAGTAAATGACACTCAGTTGTTAAACAACTGCCTCTGGTCGGGTTTAACAATTTCTTACATAACATACTGAAAATCACATCATCTGAAGTGATTTGGCAACGTTGGCACACGCCCACAATTCGTTCCATCTTTCAACACAGACATTGACAACCTTCGGCCTTCTGTCAAAGGGTTCATCTCACTCATTATTCCATGACCACCATTTTGTGCAATCATCAAGTGGCTTCACGATGTAATGCTCTAATGTTTTTTAAATAATTTTTAATCTGTTTTTAACTTGTTCTTGTCATATTTTATATAATTTTGACCATTGTACCATCTATCCAGCTCTCACCATGTTACTGGACGTTTCCCTCATCCTATACGTAAACAACAATTAGCAACATCCTCACATACTACTGTAAGTTGAGTCAATTTAAATTCATTTTACACTTTTGTTGCTACTGTTATCATTGTAATTGCAGCTCCTGATGATGATGGCAGTACCATTGAAAGCTAGAGAGAATTAAAAAGTATAATGAGTCCTCTTTGCTTAAATTTTGTCGAAGTACCCAACAAAAGGCGGAAGCTTTAATTTTTCATATATATATATATATATATATATATATATATTGTTCGACTATTTCGTTCACTGCAAATAAAGCTATGAGAATCATCTTAAATAAAAATAAATATACTAGAATAAATTTTATGCTGAAAAGACCACAATGGTTAAATATGAAAAAATTTGATAGCCTACTTGGTTTTCATTTTCACATTAAAGTAAAAAATCATCTTCTACCAAGTCACTTAGAAAATTTTATTGTATTGAAAAATGAGTGCCACAATTATTCTACTAGAGGAAGTATAGACTTTAATTTACGAAACTGCAGTATTTCAAAAGGGATTGTACGAATTTAATAAATTAAGTAATGATATCAAGATGTGTGTCACTTTGAAAATGTTCAAAGGGAAATTAAAAATATCTCATGGAAAACCAGAATTCATATTTTTATAAAATATGGAGTCTTGAAGACATAATATATTTTGTGATAAACTGTGTAATATGAATATTATGGATATTGTAGCATGAATGCTAAATAAATCTGAAACAAACAAATAAAGTAAATATATACGTTTTATCTCGTATATTCGAATAAGACATTTATACACATGTTCTATGTTAGATTAAGTGGGTCGCTAAACATTTAAGATCCCTTAGAGCTTTGCTAACAAGTTCATCTTTTATTACGATATCATGTCTAAAAATACGTTCAGGTACATTTAAATTAAAAGCTAACAGACCCTAAATAAGTGAAATTTTGTAAGACGAAACAGTGACAATATTGCAATTAACATCCTCAATAAGTACTTTATTGATTTGAGATATCGGAGAAATATGACAAAATCCCTTTGGACTTTGGACTTCATATAAGAAATTCGAAACAAAGGTTTATGCATACGGAATCTAAATCTCAACAGACGCTAGTGCCTTACCTTGTGTTCCCATGATATCCATATGAAGATGAGCAAGACCAGTTGCAATCGACACGCCATGTGTATCATCCCATTGGTATCCAACGTATTCCTCCCCAAGAAATCGAACAGAGAACCATACTCGTGATAGTCGGTGATTAACCATAATTGAGTCCACGTTCCATTATCTATAATGACAAGAATTTTCATTTCAAGGTTCGTCCATCCGCATATGTCACTTTTAACTTACCCTTATTATCGGCAGCAATGAATCCAAGAATATTGTCATGCCTCAACATGACGGTCTGATATATCTCCGCCTCCCTGAACCACGACCTCTCCTCTCTCGAGCTGAAAATCTTCACCGCTACGTTTTCTCCCCGCCACCTTCCTCTCCACACCTCGCCGAATCTGCCCTGTCCGATTATTTCGACCAGCTGGATTTGGCGGGCGATGCTGCGTTGCACCAACAGCGGAAGACCTGAAACACAAACAGATCGACTGTCATTATGAATTAAGTTTCAGAGTTTCAGAAGTTTTTGCTTTTTTGGAGCCGGTGAACCTTAAAAGTTATTTGGAAGTCAAATTTGAAATTCTGTTAGCATCTACGATTTTTGAGTGATCCTGGTGGATCCCATCTTATTTGAGCAAGAGACAGCAGCTTCTGAACTTCAACAACACTACCTACAGTCCGACGACAGTTTCATGTGGCGTCAAGGGGTTCTGTGCTGGGGCCACTTTCATTCTCAATATACATAAATGACCTTCCTAATTGTAATACAGGTGATTTTTTAAAAGGTATAGGATTTGATTTTCAAAAAAAAAAAACACAAAAAATTTGAAAAAACGATTAATCTTTATTTAAGTCGATAGAACGGTTGATATAATTTAATGTTTGAAGATTATTTCATGTAAATGTTGGCCGCGGCTCCGTTTTAGAAGGTCCAATTTTGGCCCACTCTCTCCTACATATCGGCCGGTATCTCACGAATAAATGCTTCAATATTGGCTTCCAGTGCGTCATCGTTGCTGGTTTATCCCTGTAGACATTACCTCAACATGGCCCCACAAGAAATAGTCCAACGGCGTTAAAATCACGCGATCTAGGCGGGCCAATTGACGGGCCACAAACGTGAGATAAACTGATCACCGAACTCGCTTCTCAATAGGGCCATCGTTTCGTGTGTGGTGTGGCATGTGAAACCACATGTCAGCCAAGTCCAGCTCTTCCATTTTGGGCAAACAAAAGTTTGTTATCATCGCACGGTAGCGCTCGCCATTCACAGTTACGTTCCGGCCATTGTCGTCTTTGAAGAAGTAGGGCCCGATGATGCCACCGGCCCATAATCCACACCAAACAGCGATTTTTTCGGGATGCATTGGTAGCTCTTGCAATGCTTCTGGCTGGTCTTCACTCCAGATGCGGCAATTTTGCTTGTTAACGTACCCATTCAACCAGAAATGAGCTTCGTCGCTGAACACAATTTTTCGATAAAAATGTGGATCTTCCTCCAACTTTGCCAGCGCCATTCACCAAATGGGAAACGTTGTGAGAGGTCGTGTGGCTTCAATTCTTGCACCAACCGTATCTTATAAGGTTTTACACCCAAATCCTGTCGCAAATTTTCCACGTAGAGGCCCAATTGCTGCGAACCGCGGCGAATCGACATTTCAAGGTCATCACTAACACTGGCGGATACAGCCGCAATATTTTCTTCAGTCCTCACTCTAAGTCTGCGTGTTGGTGGTTTAATGTCCAATAATGTAAACTGGGTTCGAAATTTAGTCAAAAGCTTCCGAATAGCTCCCTCATTAGGCCGACCAAATTGCCCATAAATTGGAAGCAGTGCTCGATGCACTCTCTTAACCGAGCATGAATTTTGATAGTAAAATTCAATAATTCGCAAGCGTTGTTCGTTCGTAAGTCGATACATGGTTAGATTATAGACCAAACTGAACACGTTTGACAATGACACAAGACACGATTCACGCGTCATCTGTCAAAAACAGTGTTGCCAAAAAGATACTAGCAAAAAATCACCCATTATAACCAAAAACCTTACACTGTTTGCCGATGACACAACAATGCTCTGAACTCATACATTTCTCTCTGCCAATACTGAATACATAATAAATTTAAAAAAATTGCTACTTTTGTGAATTTTCACTATTGAAGTTTAACCTCTATTTCGATCTGTGTAACCACGCACCAATAAAGGAATGAAAATCGTGAATGACCAAATCCTTAAACGTTGACGATTTAATGATCTGGCCAATTCCACGATATGTCATGAAACATCCAAAAAAAAACAAAATACCCTCATTTACAAACCATTTTATCGCCGATTGGCATGGAAATAAAAGCCTGAAAGAGCAAATGGCGCAGACCTACCTGACCCACTTCCGCTAGTCGTCATCTCGATCATATGCTTCAGGCTGACACCTTTGTTCAACAAGGGATGCTCCGGCGCTTCTAACGCATCATCCCCGTGCCTGAGATGCCTGTGTGCAGCATCCCTGCGGTGGTACGAGGTGTGCACAAAATATACCGCCCCCGCGACGATGCATAAGATCAGAGTAGGGATGGCTATAAAGGCAGCGATCTCCAGCGAGGTGAAGTATGCGGGCTCCTTGATCGCTGCTGGGGAGACAGAAAAAATGACGTTGGCAGGTCGAGTGGAAATATATTAACATACAGGATCGGCGGAGAAGATTGAGGTTCCGCATTTAATGTGTAAGAGAGAGAAAGAATACTTATGTTGATGCGTCAGCGCGAATGAAGCGTTCCCGTCTGGCGACGTTGCCATATGTTAGGACATTCCTTGGAGTTGAATGATTTTAGAAATTACTGTTGAAATAAATTGTTAGCAATATCTTTCGACAAGTCAAAGTTAACAAACTATTGTGATCGTACACAAATTCGACGTAAAATTATTTATGTTGATAAATAACTTGTTCTTTGGAGATTATGGTAAGTGTGGTGCTAGCTTTAGGAATTGCTGCCGAAAAGCAATAACAAAATTACCAAACTTGTATGTAACGAGTTCAGATACTCGTTAGATGCAGTGGTTCAAATTTTTTCGGAGTAAAACAGATTTCTTGCATTTCGTACTACGAAAATAGGTCAGGTTCCAAAACCTAAGCACTGGAATGTACTTCAATCTATGGAGATGACGCAGGAATGTAAACGCATATTAAAACAAGAAAGATTGATATTCAAATCAAGTTGGGTACTTTATTTTGAAGGTTCATTTATACGATTTATGTATGAAAAATAATATCGCTCAAATGTTCACCACGACTGGATTTACAGACGTCCACGCGATGGTCGAAATTTTCAATGACATTTTGCAACATGGTCGGTTCTATGGCATTTATCTCGGCAACGATGTTGTTTTTGAGTTCTTGGAGGGTGGCTGGTTTGTTGACGTAGACTTTGCTTTTCAAATATCCCCATAAAAAGAAGTCCAAGGGAGTCAAGTCGCACGATCTTGGTGGCCATGGCACATTTCCTCTGCGCGAAATCACGCGATCACCGAAGAAGGACTGCAATCGATGGATATTGACGTCGGTTGTGTGGCATGTTGCACCGTCTTGTTGGAAATAAACATCGACCATATCCATTCGTTCAAGTTGGCGGCAAAAGATAGTCCTCTATCATCACGTGATATCACTCAGAATTGACGGTAACGGCGTCCCCGGCCGCATTTTCGAAAAAGCAAGGTCCGATGATGCCTTTTGACCACAATGCACACCACACAGTCACTTTTTGAGGAGCATCGGCTGCTCTTGATACTCACCGGGATTTTCGGCAGTTTTGCTTGTTTACCGTCCCATTCAAAGTGAAATGCGCTTCGTCGCTGAACATGATTTTTGATGAAAAATTGCCATCAATTTAGCGGTGTTCAAGGAGCCAATCTGAGAACGTTCGGCGCGAAAAATGGTCGGCCCGGCGCAGCTCTTGCGTCAATTGGATCTTGTAGGCGTGTACATTCAAATCCTTGTGGAGAATGCGGAGCAAACCGGTTCTCGAAATGCCCAATTCTTGGGATCGACGCGTTGTTGATTGTTTCGGATCGTCTCTCACACTCTCCTTCACAACAGCAATATTTTCCGGTGTGCGAACGCTCCTTGGCCGGCCAGAGCCTGGCAGATTTGCCACAGAACCTGTCGCCTCGAATTAACGCATCAGACGACCGATGGTTGTTTCGTTTGGGCGGTCGTTGCGACCGAAATGTTCACGAAGCGCGCGAAACGTGTTTTTTACTTTTGCACCATTTGAATAACTTTAATGCGGTCTTCAATCGAATACGACTCCATAGCGATCAATGGTAAACATTCAACTAACAAAATGACATGTCGGTGACGGAAAACAAAGATGGCGTCTATGTCAAATTGACGTTTACTTTCTGCGTCCCTATTGGACAACCCATTATTTAGACCTCTTTCTTTTTCTATTTTATCATACACACTGCTAGCAGGCCAACCAAGTAATACTCTATTAAGAATCCTTAACAAAGTATTTCAGTATGTTTTTGTTTTTTTATCTACACGTAGGTGTCACTCCCTGTTAAGCTTGATATACACTTGAGTTACGTCAGATACACAGAAGGCCAATGAGCTATATACTAAACTGATTTGGCAACAGAACTCCACCAATTACTGATACGAGACAAAAAAAAAGAGGCCTTGTCACAAACTCGTTCTCCTTGATGTCACATATGTTCATCAGCGCTCTCGCTCTAACATACGTGTACCTCTGTATCTCTCTCATACAAATGAAACAAGGAACCTCAATGATTATCTGCCGATCTTGTATCGTTCATACAGGGTGGCGCAATCGAAGACGAAACAGACGCATTTACTGGCAGCTAAGTTTTTTTTTTTGAAAAACGGATTTTTTGCCAAACTTGTGTCCCCCTCGAAAACAAAATCGACGGGTCTGAGCGTTTTTCCAAAATAAAAACTGAGCTGCCAGTAAATGCGTCTGTTTCTTTTTCGATGCGCCACCCTGTATATTAACTTAGGCTACAAGTCACATATGTTTATATGCAAAGCAATAACAATAAAGAATGAGATTCCTTGTCAAGCTTTCCAAAATGTATATTTTCATCATGAAAAAGAAAACAGTTAAAATCAATTATTGTACCCTAGAAACGCGCTTTCATATTGAGCAATCCAATAAAAGAGAGGAAAATCAATTAACGTACAACATAAAAATGCACAAGTTGCAAAATGAATTATTGATCAATAAGCGGTTATAATATGAAAACTTTAATAATATGTCATTTCAATACTATTTGGTGGAAAGAGCCGACATGGCGGTTGCTGATATGAGACGACAAAAGTTTGGATTTTGAGAAACTACTACTATAAGTGACATATAAAAATGCAACACCCAGGATTATTTACTGATTTTGATAAAACTTGTAAACGTATTTGCTATGCATGATGAAAGTATACGCTGATAAAATTACAATGTTTGACAAGAACGATCATGGAAGAGGACGTATCAGATAAACGTTTTGATAGCACGAAATAAAATAATAAACACAGTGACTTGTTACCAAATAATAACAAAATTTTTTAAAAAAGGTCAGTTCTCTACAACGTTTATTACCCCATTTCGTGGTAGGATGATCATATTAGCTGATTTGTAATAAAATCATTTTTATAAATGTCCTCAAATAAATAGGTCAAAGACACTTAAAAAAGATTGAACACGTATCTGAACTTTGTAAAGAAAATGGCATTGTTTATTTTCTCAAGACCATTCCATATAAAACTTCAGATTGGTTCGAAAATGGCAGTGATTTTAATCGACATTAATATTTTAATATTGCGAACAACGTGTATATGTAGAACTGACCTCTTTTTCGATGTACAATCATTAATTCATTCAATTGTAGTATTCGCATATTCCACTGCTCTATTTACAGCTTAATATACATAACATAACGCTACAGATTCAATATACAGTAATGGTTAATAAAGTGTCTGGATACCATTGGTACAACTATCAAACTATTATTTTGTAATTATAAATATGTTCTGCTAAAGTCATCGATCATTGTATAAGCTCCGAACCATAGATGTGAAATGCAATTATTAGTCAGCCACAATTGTCAAATTTCGACATTTTTATTTGTTTCCATGTTTTATTTCTACAGATGCTTCCAAAAGAAAAATGACCGATGAGTCCTTCAATTTGAAAGACAGCAATTACAGTGTTACAAGATACTCAAAAGGAGCTTGAAAACGAGGTGTCACGTGCTCCCCCTCATTCGGTTTAGAAATGATCTGCAAAAGTATCTATCAATTTGAGCTAGTTAATTTAATCCGTTCCAATACGTATAATTCTATACTTTCTGAAAAACACAGTATAAACGCACAAAATTATACATTATGGTTAAAATGCGACACTTTTAACCATTACTGAGCAACTTTTTATAAATTGAATGAAATAATGTTAATCATAGGCGATGTAAACCAACGGTATCGTAAAATATCAGTTGGAATATTCATGCAATTAGTTGTTATTCTTCAAATAATTCATAATGTTTCCATGTGTGATGCATTGCTGGTCATCCAATTCGTGCTAGGTTCACATGTACGTATATACTCTTAAAATAGGAATAGTTGTCTATACTTTATTGAAAAAATCAAATAAGAATTTATAAACATAAAAATGTAGATAAAACGATGTGATGCAACAATTTTAGCAATATTCTCCATTGTAAATGGTAAACAAGATTAAATTTATCGTGAAAATTGAAGATATTCTCCGCGGTACAATTTATTGCTAATATACAGGATCATCGGAGGTCCCACGTTTAATGTGTATGAGGAAGATAGAGTACACATTAAAAGCTGGAGCTCAATGATTTGCAGCCGACCTGCCTATAAAGCCATTAACTACTTTAGGTAGAAAATACAATACACGACCAGCACTGCTAACACAAAACATTGAAACAGTACAAAAACCATAACTATGTTAATCTTACGGTTAGATAATTTACGCAAAGACTTACCTGTGGAAAGATATTCGGTAGAAAACACGGAAGCGAAAAAAGCGAAAGCAACAGAAGCATGCAAGCTCGGTATTACGGATGCATGGTGCAAAGGCAATTTATGTACAAACCTTTGATTGTCATTACTGTAATACATTAAATAAAATTCAATCAGTATATCAACATGCTCCTTGTCCAAAATGTCAACAAATCCAGGATAACGAAATACGGCATGAACTAAAGTTACATTATAACACAGAAAGCAACCCTTGTGAATTTCCACAATCAAATAAACGCAAATGTACCAAAATGATACAGGGATAAATATTTATATAATTTCCGGGGTTTTGGTTTTGAAAAGGAAAGTCTGATGACACCGAGCCATTTGGTACCCAAAATCTCCGGAAATTTTATTCCATCAATTATACAGTGGCACTGCAAATATCAAACTCTGAAGATACCGTGAACAGTACAAAATATTTGAAGGCCCCAACCATTTAAAGGGCGGAGAAGGTATTTTAAATATATGCTAAATATTTTTAAATTCCTGTTCGTACAGATACTATACGATTTAACCCCTGTTTCCTGTTCCCAGAATGCAAAATGGTGCTTCGGGAGTGGCGCTTGGGGGACGTGGCAAGGCAGAAACGACACGGTAAAAGAAGAGGCTTACAATTGAAGACTCTCAGCGATATATCAACAGTGGAAACGGCGTCGGCAGGAGTACTTTGAAGGAGACCATATTGAAATACCCGAGCAATTGTAAAATGAAGTTGTTATTCCACTTTTATACGCGGTTTCTGGATAAAACTCGTAAATATCGAATCAATTACACGCACAACACGAATCTTGCAGTGCTGAAAAAATACATTTCGATGCCTGGCAGTGAGTTGAAAATGACGATAAAAAAGTGAAAGATTTGATGTTACAAAACGATATTTCAGGTTTAAAATGGACGTCAATTAGTTCAGCTCTATTGTCGATTGAAAGCTTGCAGAATATGAAGAAAAAGCTCCGATCGAATCCCGCAGAATTGCGAACTCTTCTCCAAGAAATTTCGAACAGTTTTACACCAGATGACCGCCAAACATTAGTTGACACCATGTCAAGACGTTTTATTTTAATCCGCATTTTTTTTAATTTTTTTTTAAATAGTATTTTAGGCCAATATTAAATACAATATCGTATGTGATCAAAGTACATTTTAGTTTTCAATACGTTTCCGCTAATATGAAAAATGTCATACAAAAAAACTTGATTCGATACCTCACTGAGACAGGGCTCGTATTTAAGTCATCATGCATTAACATTATAACGCGATAAACTGCAGGACGTCACAAATCAAAGCCCTGAAAGAGTGTTGCACCAACATTAGTCGTGCATTTACGTTGACGCTAATACAGTAGAGATTCAGACGTAATCATAACCAGGCATTATTTGTGAAAAATAAAGCAACCCAGTATATCGCACAATGATAATCCTTAGAGCCAAACTATACGGGCGGACTTTCCGCGGCGTATTTAACGCGGCAGGATTACCGCTGAATATCGGCAGCTCCGCAAAATGCGACTTTTACGTCGATAATACCATTTCTTTTTGTGTTAGGTTGCGCTGCTGTTAAGGAGTGTACCTTCATCGGAAATTAGCCGCCTCGTCTAATTTACTCCGTTACCTGTAATCACAGGTGACGAGTCGTGGATCTTCGAGTATGATCCCGAGACAAAGAGGCAATCTTCCGAGTGGCACACGACGGCGTCTCCTCGCCCAAACAAGGGAAGAATGAGCAAATCCAAAGTTAAAACGATGCTCATTGTCTTTTTTGACATCAAAGGCATCGGATGCGTCGACTGTCTGTTCTTCAATAACCGAAATTATCCACGTCGGAATGGAGGAATACATCCCCCACACAGTGAAAGTTCCTAAACCAGGGTCCAACGGCTGGTTCAACAAATCGTGTGACACTGCTCGCCAGCAGAAGATCAAGGCCCACAGAACCTACTTACAAAACCCCACTGTAGAGAACAGACAAGCCGACGTCGAGTCCAGAAACAATATAACGAAGCGGTTCGCAATGCCAAAAACCAGCATGATATAAAAGTTAGGCACAGGGTAATGTCGCAGCGCAATGGCAGTCGGTCTTTCTGGACGCTGGCCAAGCAGATCGAAAAGAACTTCTCACACAGTAGCCTTCCACCACTTACGTGTCAGGAAGGAACTATTGTATTCGACTCAAAGGCCAAGGCGGAAGTGCTAGCCAAGATCTTTGCTGCCAACTCCACCATGGACGTCCCCACCAACGCCCAAGTGCCGTCAATTCAAAGGGTTCCCCACACTATGCGGGAGGTAACATTCAGGTATAAGACTGTAAGACGAGTGCTTTTGTCGCTCGACATCAACAAAGCTTCTGGTCCGGACTTGATTCCTGCCATTGTACTGAAGAGATGTGTAGCGGAGCTTGCTCCAGTTCTTTCGCGTCTCTTCCAGATATCTTATGAATCCGGCATCTTCCCAGAAAACTGGAAATTTGCTCATGTACAGCCCATCCCAAAAAAAGGATCTAAAACCGACCCTTACAACTACAGGCCTATAGCTCTGCTTTCTGTTATAAGTAAAGTGATGGAGAGGTGCATAAATCGCGAGCTTCTGGACTACCTCGAACGTCACAGCTTGATTAGCGACAGGCAGTATGGTTTCCGGCACCAACGATCCACAGGGGACCTCCTAGCTTACGTCACGCAACTGTGGAGTAAACTCATCCAGTCTCATGGTGAGGCTCATGTCGTTGCTCTTGACATCACGAAAGCGTTCGATCAGCTGTGGCACGCTGCCCTCTTAAGCAAACTTCCATCCTACGGCCTCCCAGAAAAGCTTTGCAGATGGGTGGCTGACTTTATCTCTGGCCGCAAGACATCCGTCGTAATTGACGGATTCTCCTCTTCATCCCACAACGTCAACGCGGGTGTTCCCCAGGGATCGGTCTTGGCTCCAACACTGTTTCTCTTACATATCAACGACCTCCTTTCCTGCACGATCAATCCAATCCACAGCTTCGCTGATGACAGCACTCTACATGCAGGAATTCAGAGTGACAAGCCGATCTCTGCCGCTGAGCTGGAAAAAGAAGACTAGCGACGACTTCTTCTCTGACAAGAGACCTGGAGGCTATCACTGCTTGGGGACGCAACAATCTTGTACAGTTCAATGCTTCCAAAACACAGTACTGTACTTTGACGAACAAAAAGCGTCCTAGCGCTCATACAGTTTCGATGGACGGTCGAGTTCTACCAAAGAACCATTCATTTCGGCTGGTCGGAGTCCAGATCACCGAGGACCTGATCTGGCACGAACACATCTCTTCAATAGCTGCAGCTGCTGGGAAAAAGCTGGGCTATTTGTTTAGGGCTAAGAAGTACTTTTCTCCGCATGACCTTCTCACTCTGTACAAGGCCCAGATAAGGCCTGGCCTCGAGTATTGCTCACACATTTGGGGTGCTGCCGCCCCGACTACATTGTCCATGCTGTTCAGAGGAGTGCGGTCCGACTGATCGATGACTCTTCTCTAACAGACAGTCTCGGGACTCTTTCGCACCGGCGGGCCGTCGGCGATCTAGCTCTTTTCTATCGCTACACCAACGGGCTTTGCTCCTCAGAGCTCTCTTCTATGATGCCGCCGCGCGATGTGCCTGCCAGACAGACCCGCCTGACTTCGGCGTCCCATCCTAACCGTGTCAAACTTCGTACATCCAGAACTCGCCGATACGACCGCTCCTTTGTCCCGAAGGTGTCTAGATTGTGGAACAATCTACGGGAGGAAGCTTTTCCCAGTTCTACTAACCTTAGGCAGTTCAAAAATCGTATTAATAAAATTTCTTTGGGATCATCATAGCAGCCGCGGTGTTCCGGCATTTAGGCTTCTGCCTGCGCGGCTGTTTCGATATAAAAAAAAAAAAAAAATCGTCCACCATGAATTTGTTCCTCCTGGACAAACCGTCAACGCCAAGTTTTACGTGGAAGTGCTCAGGAGACTCAAACGAAGGGTCAGTCGGGTCCGACAAGACATCGCAGCCGGCTGGAAGTGGCACCACGACAACGCCCCGGCTCACACCGCCTTTCTTGTCAACAGCTACCTGACCAAGGCCGGCATCCCAACGCTTCCGCAGCCGCCCTACAGCCCAGATGTGGCCCCCCCCCGGACTTTTTTTTGTTCGACCTGAAAAGGCCGAAAGGCAAGCATTTTGAGACAGAGGGAATCCAAGCAGCATGCACCGCGGCTCTCAAGGCTATTCCGGAGAATGCCTTCTGTGACGCCTTCAATGCTTGGAAATCGCGCTGGCAGCGCGGCATCGACGCAGAAGGAGCCTATTTTGAAAGTTTTTAAAGAATTGTAACGATTGGCTCAATAAATTTTTTTGAATCGACAAACGCTGTAAAGACAACGCGACGTCTATTTTCGCTCGTTCACCGGCAAGCGTTCGATTAGGACGTGCAAACCGTCGCGTAAAATACGCCGCGGAGAATCGCCCGTATAGTTTGGCCCTTATGACACAAATACTATGTTGGCAGACAAACACGATGAATGGCCCATTTTGAAGCATTTTTCACATCATTACACTAATCGAAGCATAACGTAAACGTTTGGTGTAGCAAACCCGTTCTGTTAGGCTGACCATAAATGAACAAAAAGTAATAAAGTTTCCCGAAGTTAGAATGACCACATGACTAACAAACAAACTTGATTGTAAAAAAGGACTAAGCAGCCCCAGCGAAACAATGGCATAGTCATACTTGCTACATATTAAAAAGGGATTCAAATTTAAAGCATGAGTCCAATGAATGACACGTAAACATATAATTTTGCTTCAATACTATGAAGCAAATGCTTCGAAGCATCTGTTTTACAATCATATAGAGGTTGTTTTCAAATTCAGCATGTAGTGATTACAAAATCACCTATACAGGGTGTTTGCTTAATGGTATACGAATATTTAGGAAAAAATGGCAATTAATTAATATTTTCAGAACCGCTTCAGATATTTCACTGATATTTAGTACGTACTGAAAGTTAATGAAGCGGCATATTTTTAATGCAAGAATAATTTTTAGCTTCAACAGTGGCGTGCGTACGGGGATTGACATCGATATTTTT